ACGGAGGGGACTAAATAAGTAACATAATACGTTGATTTTGCGGAGTGGGATATTCTATAGAATTAATCCAATGAGATCCCTCCTAAAAATCAGCTTGCAAAATCATGCAAACACGATTTTGCCGCCAAGTATTGGGTGCCGGAATTTTGGTCACCGGAATTTTGGTCACCTCGATTTTTCGGAACTTTGGTCACCAATTTTTTTGGAATTTTGGTCACCAGCGGAATTTTGGTCACCAAACGGAAAAAAATAATCTTATCTGAAACTGATACAAAGTGATAAAAAAATGATTTTTCAACTCCCATTTGATCAATTTCAATGTTGATCACTCTCACAGTTAATCAAACATCCGGGAGAGTGATCAAGAGTGATCAATCGAGAGTGATCAACCTATCAACCTCAGCCGGGAAAGTGACAAAAATTGATTTGATCAAATGGGAGTTGAAAAATCATTTTTTTATCACTTTGATATCAGTTTTAGGTAAGATTATTTTTTTCCATTTGGTGACCAAAATTCCTAGTGGTGACCAAAATTTCAGTGCCCAATATTCCGTTTTTTGATTTGGTGACCAAAATTCCGTTGGTGACCAAAATTCCAAAAAAATTGGTGACCAAAGTTCCGAAAAATCGTGGTGACCAAAATTCCGGTGACCAAAATTCCGTACACCCAAGTATTTGTCTTAAATATTTAAAATTTTTTAAATATATTTTTTAAAATTACGTTTTTCCATTAAGAAACAAATTGTTGATAATATATTGCAGAGAGCTCAATGGTAAAATGAAAAGCCATGCAACAAGTATAATATATTTTATATTTCTAGAATTAAATTTATTTAATGCAGGGTACAGCAAATTGACGGCCAATTTTGTTTTAGCTCAGGCTCCCGGACAATGCGTCAGTGGACAATGCGTCAGCGGAATATGCGTCAGTGGACAATCGGTCATAATATAAAGAGATAAAAATTCACTGATATCCCTCCAAATCGGCTGATCTCCATCTTAATCCAACCAAATAAGTTGATATCTCTATTAATCATCCCAAACCCGTGATATCGACCTTAATCCCAACGAATCCCTCTATATCTCTTTCAAACGCTGAAACCCCCTTTTAAATACTCTTAATCTGTTTATATACCATCTTTAGTCTTTTTATATCATTTTTATCTCTTTACATTATCACTTTTAATCACTTTATATGAATACTGACCGATTGTCCACTGACGCATTTTCCACTGCCGCATTGTCCGCTGACGCATTGTCCGGACACGTTAGCTCAATTCCCCTCGTACTCGTACTTCGTACCTCTTTTCTCTTTTATATCAAAAAGTAACTATAGTACGAGAAAGAATTTTGGTACGAGCCTATGAACACTGGCCATAGCTAAAACAAAAAGAGGCACAATTTCCGCCTCTTTAAATTTAAATTACTTTGCCTTCCAAATTGTTTTATAACTCAAAGGGAAGTAAATAGCATGAAAACGATTTAGAGCCAAAAAAGTTATATGAAAATATAAAGCATTTTGTAAAGTTTTTAAAACCGGTGAAATAAAAAAGTAGCTATAGTAGGAAGAAGAAAAAGGTAGATAATCGAATATTATAGTGTAGATAACCATAAATTGGTATAAAATGTTTACAATTAACTGTAAATTAAAAAAAAATTATTCTAATTTTTAAATTGATTTGTGAATTCTTAATTCGATATACCACTCTGTATGTCCGATGTTCATGCTGTGGAAAAATTGTTTGGATGGGAGATGGAATTGAACCATCAATGAATGAGCCCAGACCGAAGCACAACCGACTGTGCCACCATCCAACCCAATGCTGGGTTATTTATTTTCGTTTATGTTCTTTCTGCAAGTGCGGACACACACACTCACTATTTATAAAATTGACGGCTCTACTCCAGTTTATGCGTCCAATCGACTTTTATGCGTCCATGAAAGTTTATGCGTCCAATATTTTCTTAGCCTTGCAAAGTTGGGGTATGGTACCAAAATATGTCTTCATGTTCGGGACCCACGCCCACTGGGTCTGGGACTCTTCTTTACCCTATCCCTCGAAATTTCGGAAAGTTATAGACAATTTTTAAAAATTTCGGAAAAACAATTTTAACTTTCCGAAATTTCGAGGGATAGGGCAAGGAACGGTCCTAGACCCAGTGGGCGTAGGTCCCGAACATGAAGAAATATTTTGGCACCATACCCCACTTTGGAATGCTAAGAAAAATTCAATTGTTTTTTGATTGGACTGCGACCACCTACTAGTTGTTGCTAGGCGCTTTAGCTCGCCATATGCAGGAGCTCTACCTCTGAGCTACCGGGGCATCGACTAATGCTTCTCTTTTTCCTTTTTAGATCGTTTAACCCCCGCCTAAGTGTTTTAAATGCTGCTGGGTGAATTATCCATACATAAATTTTTGATACTCTCATATTTAAGAAAAATTTGTGTATGTTACAAATTTATGAATTCTCAGTGCTTTTACAAACCTTGCTAAAAAGTATAAAAAGTGCTGTTCGTTCTTTACAAAATTTGAATAATGGAAAAATTAAAAATATTAAAAAAATTGTAAATATTGAATTAAATAGAAATAGTACTATCTTCCAATAAATATAATAAGCATCCATTATTATTTCCAAAAAAACTACCTATATTATAAAAAACAATTTTTAATTTATAAATATTTTTGCTATTTTATATTACTGTATTTCCTAAAATAAAGCCCCATGCTAAATTAGAGCCCATCCGAAAATAGAGCCCCATTTTGGAAGATAATTAAAATATGGAGCTCTATGGGGCTTTATTTTAGGAAGTACGGTATACGGGAGCAGCCCAACTTACCGCGACAAGTCTAACTTAACGCAGAGCTATAACTTCGTTTGGAATTATCGAATCCGGGACGAACTAGTATGGTTCGATGCGCCTCGACGAGCTGAATCGAACAATACCAGGGTGTCCCGGATTGCGGTAAGTTGGGGTGTACCCACGGTATACCTAATGTAAAGCATATAGCTATTTAATTCCTAAGGCTGTGCAGTAAGCGGCGTGGTGTAATGGCTAACACATCAGTCCGGTCTGCTGAAGATGCTGGTTCGCTCCCATCCGCCGAATAACCTTTTGCACTAGCTAAAGGAGAGAAATAGCTATAGCCCAGCTGCTTTACTCTAATTACAAAAAAATTTTTCTCTTGCTAAAGAGAAGATTTATTAGAGGAGCATGAATTTTTGATGGAGAAACGGCAAATAAATTGAAGAATATAATAAATTTTCAAGTTAAAACGGAAGTTAAATATTAAAATAATTAAAGTACAAAATAATTAAAATATTTTGTATGATTAGAACAGGCCACACGCATTTTAATGAAAATTAAAAATATACAAATAAAATAAATTATTAAAAAATTGTAGGCATTTCAAATTTAATATCACACGCAATTAATCAAAAAAAATATAATTTTTATTTTTTTTTATAAATTCGTTCAAGTACTATTGAGGATTAAGGATTAACACCCACGTTTATGCTTTAGACTTTTTCTTCCTACAAAAATTAAGCAAATACAATTTACGAAAGACTGCTCTGCTTATGGGGGGAAAATGTAATGAGTAGGGTGATCTTCGGCTCGGCTCTTCGACTATCTAAGTAACTACAACTCTAATAATGAGCCTAAAAGTATTTATTAAGGTTGGCGGTTCCGGTTATCCGGAACCGAAAAAAGACTGGAAAACCGAAAATTTTCGGTTCGGTTCCGGTTCCGGATAACCGAAGATTTCCCAGGAACCGCCAATCTTAGTATTTACTGTTCTTTTCTAGATCAAAATTGAAATAAGGATTTTTGGACATATTTATTCGAATATATGTATCATTTAAAAGAACTACGATATTTTTTAACAAAATTGAAAATTTTCATTAAAATTAAACATAAATTGGCTGATTGTTAATAAGATAAATCTCATTAATATTCTTCATTATGGATTGTGTTTATTGGAAAGTTGTTTGAAAGTAGAGTTTCCTTTTAAAAAATATTTCTGCTCCATTATCTGCTCCATACAAAAATTTTATTCGTTAATTATGGACTTCCGACTTCCATACAGATCTTCAAATATTATTTCTTTCACCATGTTTGAAATATCATTTGATGTTTCTTTATGCTGAAATTGAATTATTTATTTTTAAATTAATTAAAGTAAGAACGAGGTAAAAGTTTAATCCCGGGCAGGCTTCGATCCTGAGACCTCCTGGCAGTTATTGCTAGGCGCTTTTGCTCATCACGCACAGGTGCTCTACCTAATGAGCTACCGGGACGCTGGTTTCGCCTTCTTTTAATAGATCTTAAACCCCCGCCTAGTGAGCGTTTTAAATTATAGCCAACTGGATCTTTGTGAAAAATTGGGTTGGACTGCTGTCCTTCGATCCAGGGCCCCTTCTCTCCAAACTGCGGCCTAATCCGTTCGGCCATCCAACCACCCATCGGTTGCTGCAAAATTTTTTTTGTTATTTCCAGCCGCTACCCATTTCCTAGTCTTTACTTTTCTTTTCTATCGCTGACTAGATAGTCGCGACATCTTTCTCTACCTTACTTCAAGACAGATAAAAATACTAGTCAAGATCTAATTACCTGTAAAATACGATTATAAAGTCCTGTTAATTGTGGATGTTTGCAACAAACTTTAGAGAATTTATAACCTCCAGTAGTTAAAATTTTAAGTAAAATATCTTGATAATTCTCTAGGCCCTATCGCAAATGAGGTGCGTAATCATATTTTTTCTCCTTCCTTCCTCAAGTTAAAAATGGGGAACTTTTTCCTTAGTTTTTAATGTATGCTGATTTCGCCGTAAGGAAAAATGATGCAAGAGGATTAATTATTTACATTTTGTTTTTTGTTCATGTTTTGACTGACCGTGTTTTCACAGTCAAAACAGGGACAATTTTGAGACACGGTCAGTCAAAACACGGGTAGAAAAGAAAATGAAAAAATTAATCCTCTTACATTATTTCTCCTTACTAAGGAAAAATACTAAGGAAAAGGTTCCCCATTTTTAACTTGAGGAAGGAAGGAGAAAAAATATGATTACGCACCTCATTTGCGATAGAGCCATTCTCTATATTAATTCCATTCTCAAAACTAATGATTAATTGATTGGAAAATAAATGATTTAATGCAAATCTTATAAGACTAGTATGATCGTAATTTTTGTAAATACGTAGATTAGCCTCATTAGAATGAATTTGTAAAGGTAGTGGATTCTTTGTGGGATCTCTATTTTCGTCATATAATATTTCAAGCATTTGCGGATTAAATACAAATTGTTGCAATTTAAAATGCTGATTAAATATAACTTTATCCAAGCAAACTTTTTCAAAAACACAGTTTGAAAATTGTTGAAATAAATAACGCATAATTTTCAAATCTTCAAAAGTTTTTGGAATGATTGGAAATTGTAGAGTTATTGCTAAATTAAATTTTGATTAAAAAATATTTTCAGTTAAGGGCTTTTATAGAGAAAGCGCCTGAAGCACTCAAAATTTAGCCTGCATAATAGTTTGCGGCAAAATAGCATTCATTGGATCCCGTAACGGGATTTATTTCAAAATTTTTTACGGGACAGGATCTCGCGGGATTAATCCCGTAAATCCCGATAATCCCGTTCGTCGCTTAAAACATAGATTCCTGACGGGATCCTGTCCCATGCTGCACACTACTGCATACTTCTGCTCTTTATTTGGAACATAGATTTGAATAGGCGTTATGGCGTGATTTTAAAATTTGAAAAAACTGTCTGGCGCCAAAACCCAAATTTGAAAATTTGCGTTTGGCGCCAAAACCCAAATTTGAAAATTGGCGTTTGGCGCCAAATCCATGAATCGGATCCAAAAATGCCGCACATCCAAAATTTTTGTTGGGATATCAGATCAGGGAATTTCCCCAGGACAGCCACCCCTATGCCGGAATTACACTAAAATGTGCACGAAAATTGTGTTACTAATACGTACAAAATTTGTCATTTACTTATGACTAGTCTTTAATTTTTAAGTACTAAAAGAGTCAAATGGCACGATGGAAAATCGCGACACAATTGTTAATAAGTTTCACCTTGAGCTTTAAAGTCACCATCATGTTCCATTACAGAAATAACAAGAAATACATTTGTATCATCATCTTTTAAAAACATTGGGATTGAATTATCTATTATATATTTCCACTAGAAAAAGATTTGTTTTAAAAATAAAAAATATTCATTTTTAAGGTTCCACCCCCACAAGATCAAAATTTTAAAGGACAAGATCGTAGAGATCAAGACCCTCTCCAAGGTCTTGATCTCTACGATCTTGTCCTGTCCTTCTAGGGTCTTAGAGATCCAGGGTCTTGATCTCTAAGACCCCCTCTAAGACCATCTCCATCTCTAAGACCCTCTTAGAGATCAAGACCATCTCCAAGGTCTTGATCACCAAGGTCTTTTGATCTCTAGGGTCTTTTGATTTCTAGGGGCGTCCTCTAGGGGTTTGATCTTGTGGGGGTGATCCCAATTTTTAACCGTTTTCTCTTGATGTTCAGTCAATTGAAGTTCGTAAAATTTAGGATCCGGTTTACTGAATTTAAATTTAGTTAAAGACAACTCATCGATAGTGAACTTTAAAAAATAAATTATTGTAAAAAACTAAATTATATAACTACAATTTCGAGTTTATGAAATTTTTTTAGTGCCAAATCATTCTCATATTGCTTAATAAATTTTTTATAAAATTTATTAGTTTGTTGCATATTTAATAATTGACCCCAACTTAAACATTTAAGTATATTCAATTGATTTTCAGGTGGAAGAAAGTACATTTTTAAATAAATTTTTTCTGAAAGGCAAAATGAAAGTTTAAATTTGATGAGATACACGTAAAATTTAAAAAGAGTGATTATTCCCAGTACTCTTTTAATTTACTTTTGAAAATGTGATTTTTTGGAATTAAAAAGCCAGAAACGTAAACTATCTATGTATATTTTTCGAAGGTTTTTCAATGATTTGTTTTTTTGCTTTATAAACGTGATTCACTGTGTTTTGCTTAAAAGAGAAAAATGATTGAATAGAATGGTTGTACTTTTAATTACAAAAATAGAATATTTAAAATGTTTTGCATTCATTTACTTCTGTTGTAATGATGGACAAATAATGATAAATATAGCTTGAAAAAGTTAACATTTGAAAAATTCAGGAAAATATATGTGTATTTGGGATCAACCCAGAAATCAAGACCCAGGAGGTCAAATGACCCAAAAGGTCAAATACAAATTTTGAGCGGATAAATAATTATTTGTACATATTAAGACGGATTTGTGGGTATTAAGGAGGCTATCGACGGATTTGGGCGGATTAAGACGGATTTGTTGGGATTAAGGGGGATTAAGATTAAGGGGGACGGAAATACTCTCGTGCAACTGTCGGATAATGCAAAAGAAAGGAATCAAAAGTATGCTTAACTAAATAAATTTTACAATTATTTAGATCAAAATCTGTAATTTGTCAAAAATAAACATAAAAAAGTTTACATCAAACCGATTCTTTTGAATGAAAAAAAATTTTATGTCAAAAATAAACAAAAGTTTAATGCATATAAATATTAAATAAATTTATTGCAATGTTCAAATACTGGGGAAAAAAATAAAAGATTGAATAGTAAATGTCACAAAGAAAAATTCAGCAGATGATTTTGCTTAAATAAAAATTGTAAATAGAAATGCAGATGAATTTTAAAAATAAAAAATAAAATTGTATAGGACTTAAAAATGTAAAATAAACTACGATCCATTTTATTGAATAAATTTAAGGCTTATTAACGGCAAAGGTGAAAATTATAAAATTTAAAGAATATCAGCTTTACGTTTATTTTGTTTAAAGCTTAATTTTAATTTGCTCAGAAAAAAATATATTTATTTTTTAAATCCCTTAATCCCTGCATCAGAGGATCCCTAGATCAGAGGATCCCTAGATTAAAGGACCATCTTTGAACAGTTTCCAGATGAGTTAAAAACAATTTTATTCAAAAGAGTCCACCCCAGTGTATCGATACCCATTGTATCGAATCGCTGTGACTAAGGTCGGTATTACTCTCGTTTATTATTTTCGTTCCGATTGACAATTGATCACTAACTCGATCAACAACTATGTTTATGCACAAGAAAAATGTTTTTTGTATCGTAACTTTGTCAAATATTTTTCTTCTAAGCTTTTAGTAGAGATTTTCCCTGTGGGTCTGTTGATCTTGTGTATGTGGGTCTTCTGTCACTACGCATGGACAAGACTCCCGCAAAAAATCAGGTCGAGTTCGCTTTTACATAATGCTGTTTATTTTTATGGATGACCGAAGAGAACCTGATTTTTTAGCTTTTAATTATTCTAAATATTTCAAAAATTGAAAAATGCTTAATACTAAAATTTAGATAATCTAAAAATAATATCAAACTGAAATAATCAAACTAAAATATTTAGTACATACTTGTAATAAATATGTAAAATAACTACATAAATTTTTAAACTCTAATATACAGTAGTCGACATAAAGATAGGGACAAGAAAATTTTTTGACTGAAAAAATAGTTAATTTTCATTTCAGTTACTCTTGTCCCTATCTTTATGTCGACTACTGTAGATTGATGATCAAGAAAATCAAAAAATATAATTATACTCATATTGTTGGTTTTGTTAGAAAGCTTTGAATAATTTTAAAAAAAAAACTAAGAAAGAATAATGACTACATACGTCCAAGCCCGAGCAAATCGAGTTTTTTTTTGGTTAGTAACATCCCCGGTGTCTAGCAATGATAAAATTTCGCCCAGTTTAATGTTAAAATTTTTTAAAACCCGTTCAAATATATGCATTCGAAAATCTAATAATCTAATAAAAAGAATAGCCAAATATGTTTAAGTTGTAGAAATTTTTCATATAAATTAATCACTTAAAAAGGCCAGAGAGTGAGTTAATTACTTTCTCTGGGTGATCCAGATACATATAATGATCCATAAAAGGCCCGAAAAACTAGTAATGGCAAAAATTTCTCCGGGGTTACGATCCTTATAATTTTTGGTTTATTGAATCATTCACATTTGGCTAATCTATCTTACATAAACCTTTCTTAAATAAATACCATAAAGGCTTTAGGGTTAGGGTCTTTTTGGCGCCGGGCCGTTTTGGCGCGATAACTAAAAACTGGCACTTAACCGAGACCTAACTTCATAAAAATTTTATCAAATTTCTTTAACATCCTTGACTACCTCCTCCAGAAATTTCAGAATTTTTCATAAGATATTTCTGAAGTTATGTCGATAGACCAGAAAAAATTGGGCATTTTTCAGAAAATAGACATTTTTGGCCATAATTTTTAAAACTCTTGCTCAAAATTTCTGAAATTTTTGGAGAACATAGATAAAGTTATGAGAGTTATTCTTGCAAAATTTTATCATTTTTGATAATAAACTCTCGCTATCTTATAAGCCCGCGCCAGAACGGCCCCGCGCCAAAACTGCCCAGTCCCATATGTTACAATTAGACAAAGTTCGTTGTAATAATATATACAACGAAACACACAGCAATGATGTTAACTATTAAGCAATAGAAAACAGCTTTATAAGCTTCATTAACATGTTGATTGAATTCATCTACCAACTTATTATGTTTTTTCATACGTTTATCCTCTTCCTCCTGTCCATTAAAAGCACGCTTTGTACGGCGGTTGTGACCATTCGAAACGGAATTAATTTTTGAATTCCAAATAGCAAAAAGATTTGAGAATAACTGCCAATTGTTATAAATTAACTGTAAAGCCACTCCATTTTCCATATAATCTACACGAACTTCACAAGCTTTTAAGACTTCTTTTCCAAGAGTCAGAAGCGAAGGTATTTTATCCCAATCATTTCCATCTACTATTTCTCGAAGTTCATTAGAGAACTTTTTAGCGGTTGAAATTAAATCTTTTTTCAAAGATTTATTTTTCTAAATTTATAAAGTTTTAAAATACTTTTTAAAAAATTTCTGGCTAAATTATACTTTATGTGTCAATGGAATAATTTTGTTAATTTTTACGTTTTAGAGTAAACATTCCTTTGTTTTCTGGACATAAGGCTTCTGTGTAGCAAGCTTATTAATATAAATTTGGGATAGCTAATTTCAATTTTAAAACATTCAGAAGGAAACAGAACTACTATGTATCCAAAATTCATATATGCTAACGGGGTGTCCGAAATTGTTACTTTAGGCCACGAAAACAAAGAAATGTTACGGACCCATAGGTTACTTTAAATCAGGCATGTTCACGGATACGGATAATATTCGGATATCCGAGGATACGGACGGATATGGAGTTTTTTTAATCGGACGGATACGGATGGATACGGATATTGACCCACGGCTATATCCGGAGACGGATAGCAAAATCCGTATCTATGTGCTAGACTGCTGCAAATACACTTAAATTAACGAGACTTTAGACGCATAAAGTATAATTAAGCCTTAGTTTGTTTTTACTTTTTTCCCCATCTTTTCTTTCAACATCGTTAATTTTTCGTCTAAATTCAAATTTTTTAAATTTTGCTTCAATTCTTCATTCTCAATTGTCTCAACAACTTCATCAAATGAAGTTCCTTCGTTCAAATAAAATTGAAAAAGAAAATAAAATGAAAATAAACAAAACTTTAAATTCATTTTTGAATTCTTAAATTAAATTTAAAAATTTTTGTTAGAAAATAAGGGCTAGGTGAATGTAAATTTTAAATTTGGAGGGTACTTTTTACTATATTTTTACTATATTTATATTTTTACTATATTTTTTTACTATATTTATGGAGTTTGGAGGGTACTTTCTTGTTAAAGAGAACGAATCTGGACAGTCCTTTCTGGACAGTCCTTTTTATCATTATAATCAGCTATATATACATATAAAATAATTTATAAAATATAATATAAAAATAATTTTAATTAAATGACTATATGCAAAATACTAAAAACATTGATGATTAGAAATTAAATTCCCTTCATTAAAATGGAAAAAACAAAAAATTCTTCTCAAACCTCGACCTTCAAACTTTCCCTCCCATAAATTATTATTAATAATATATGCTTTTACAATTTAAATTGCAAATTAAATTAAAAACAAAATACTAAAAACATTGATGATTAGAAATTAAATTTAAATTAATATTTTCCTAAACTAAAAATTAAACTATAATTAATAATAGTAAAGCAGCTGTGCTATAGCTATTTCTCTCATTTAGCTAATGCAAATGGTTAATCGGCGGCTGGGAGCGAACCAGCATCTTCAGTAGACCGGACTGATGTGTTAGCCATTACACCACACCGCCTACTGCACAGCCTTTGGAATTAAATGGCTATATGCTTTACAATAAAGAAAAATATGACTTAACAATATACATTTGGAAATCGTTAATTAAATCCTATGATGTTAAGAAAAATTTTTTAATTAAGAAATAATTTAAATTAAAAATATTTTTATTAGAAATACCACTTAAAATAAAGGAGTTTTGAGGGTACTTTATTGTTAAAAAACGAATTTGGACAGTCGACAGTCCTTTTTATCATTATTATCAGCTGTATATACATATAAAATAATTTATAAAATATAAAAATAATTTTAAAATGAATGCCACTATTAATTTTTGTCAACTTAAAAAGGCCCTGGGCGGAGGCGTTGATTGACAAAACTCTTGTCGGCATTACCTTTGAAGAAAAAAGAATTGCTTTATTATACAACCTGCCCTTAGAATGCCCTTAAATGTTAATAAAATTTACGAAATTTTTCTTTTTGGCATTAGCCGCTAAAAATTTAAGAAATATGCGTGATTGACATCTTAATGATTATCATGAGTGAAAGGGCAATTTAAAAAGGGCATTTAAACATTATTGTACAAAAATTGCCTTTAAAGTTCCCTTCACTAAAATGAGAAAAAACTTTAAGAAAAAAATCTCAAAAACTCGATCTTTAAACATTCCCTCCCATAAATTATACATATATTCAATCATAAATGAAATCTAAACACTATTTAAAAATAAATCTGTTTGGAAAATCGAGAATCACTTAGAAGAAGACCGGTATCGGGCGGCTTTTCTGATTCCCAATACCGATTTTTTCATATTCAATAAATAAATTTTATTCAGACCAAAGGGTATACAATATACCACTAAAATGGTTGAATGTGCACAAATAAATGTGGAATTTGAATTATAAAGAGTTTTAGACATTTCAAAGTAAATAAATAGGCACAAGTAGTTAAGCTAATTTAGGAGATATTTTAACTTTTTTGCTTAAAAATGTTTTTTTAAATTAACTTTTGCTTAAAAAGAGAAATTGTAAAAAAAGTATGTCAACTAAGAGAAAAAAAATATGAATGATAAAAAAATGATATATGATATATATTTCCCCAAATTTCATAATATCCTTTGTAATAATATCCTCCAAATTTCATAATTCCTTGTTAATCACTCCAGGACCCCGATATATACGATCTCCTCAAAATTAATATACCTTCAAACCATTATACATATCAGAAAAAGTAGATATGGCATTTTTTTTTAAATTTTAATGATCATCGTTCCAAAATACCGATACCGATTTTCGTGATACCGCTCAACTACATAAATATAGTAAAAAATAGAAAATAGGCAAAGGAAAATTTTAAATTAAATACAAAATTAAATATTATTTCATAAAAAAATAAATATTTTCCCTTGCTATAATTGGAAATCAATAGCTATGTAAATCTTATTATGCCCTTTAAGAAAATAGAAAAATTTTTTATTTAAAAAATTTGATAAAAAATTTTCATTTGTTGATTTTTTTATTTAAATATTTTTCAAATAAAAAATTAACTGAAGAAATATTTTAGAAAGACAACTTTAAAGCACTTTCATTTCCTGTTCGTGCCATAAACTGAAAGGAATTAAAGTTTCTTTCTGTTATTTTGCCTATATTAAATTTTATCATATACCCCGTTTCTTTTCTATTTTCTATTGATATTTATAGAAAGTTGTTCAGAAAACTTTTTATAAATTTTTCGATTGATAAATTAAAATTTCAGATGGGAAAGCCATCTTCCAATAACAGAAAACTGAAAGAATATTGGTGCAACAGTTTTTCCAGATTCCCATTAACCTTCAAAATATATAACTTCAAGGCCCTTTCATTTCCTGTTCGTGCCAGAAACTGAAAGAAATTAAAAAATTTCTTTCAGTTATGTTACCTATGTTAAATTTTTCATATATCCCCGTTTCTTTTGTATTTTCTATTGTTCTGGTCCAACCGCATTAGATAAATTAAAATTTCAGAGGGGAAAGCCATCTTCCAATATCAGTTTGAAATGTCGCGTCTCAACGCGAATTATAAATTTAATTAAAAATATAAATTTTATTGAAATTACTCATCCACAAAACAATTTCCCAGACTTTATCTAACATAATCATCTTAAAGTTTTATATGTTCGCTGGCCTTATTTAAATGACTTTCACGTTCCTACCAGCGGTTCTTTCCCTGCAATCACTTTGTTAGTGTCTTCTTTTTACAAACATTCCCCTTTTCACTTAATCAATTGTATTTTTAAATTAAAAGAAAATAAATATATTTTGTTGTGTGTGGAAATTTTAATTAATAGGTCTAATTAGCGTTATCTGAGCCTATCGCTAAAGCTCAGCCGGTGATTTTCGACACCGTTTTCGACTTCCCTTCCTTTTCGGACTTCCCTACAATTTTGACTGCGTTCTGCGGAACAGTCTTATACGGACTTCCCACTTTTATCACTTATAAAATTTTTAAATTTTAATTCACTTAATTCTCAATGTCCACACCCTTCCGTGACCAGCTCACTTTTCTCCAAGAGCAAGGTCTAAAACTTCTTGATAATCAAAAGACTTTCCCACTTCCACCCGATAGTATAAGTTTATCCCAATTCCATTCCGACACTCGGAAATTGTTGAGCTCCTTGGAAATAGAGCTCGAATATGTTTTAAAATTTATTTCAGATATTTCCTCAACCCACGACAAATGGATGGCGGTCCGAACCAACATGACCGAAGCGGAAAGGACCGCCGATACACTCATATATGAAAATTTTGCCGCAACTGTTCCTTATTTACGTACGTTATTTCAACTGAAAAAATATTTGAAAAATCTCCGTTCCTCACGACAAATTCTAATTTCAGCTCTCCCCGATCCAAATCAACCCACCGAATCACACTGGCATTTACCGGAAATATCCCTTCCCAAATTTTCGGGTAATTGCCAATCAACGTCAACCCCTAACAAATACACTTCAATCCCCACTAATCAAATTTCACCTTTATTCCCCAGTTCAAACACACCTCCCTCCCCCTCCCTGACATACCAACCATATTCGGGTTTTAACCCTTATTTTTATAACAACATGTACACCCCATCCCCAATTCCCGTACAAAACTTAAGCATTAAGCCAGCAACAACTCCACAAGAAAATGAAATTGAAAACAACACAGTGACCAACTTCTGCGTCCAAAACACCCCGTTCGAGCCATCTCCAGATTCCTGTACACTAGAAGGTATAATTGTAACTGACCCTCCCCCAACACTTACCGATGAAAATTTTTTAAAAGTTGAGGAGTATTCCCCATCTCTCCATACACATCTCCCCCCAATTACACACAAACACCGGACCGTAGATGACGGATCCGATTTTATAGTAAAAGAAAATTCTTTTAATGCTTTAGAACCCCCACAACAACACCACACACCCCCTCGCTCCCCTTCCTTTTCCGAAAAAAGTATTGCCAATACAAATGTGGACAACAGTGTCCTTTCTACCCTACACACGGTAGATGTCCAAAACCACCCAACTTTATTCCGGGGCGGAGGGCGCTCCGAGCGATATTTAAAAATACCCCCATTTAATAAAAAATTTAAAATTTCGTTAAAAGATAGCAGGCTCCAACACTCAGCATCAACCGACACAAACATGGAATGTGACTCTACTCCAACAATTGAAATTGCCACTACTGAATCCTCTGCACTACCCCCTTCAGAATTACAAACACCAGAAACTACTTCAACTCGCCCACGTGGTCAACCACCTTCACTGGCTTCCTTCAAACCACCTCCACTGGCCTCCTTCAAACTCCCTTCACTGGCCTCCTTCAAACCCCCTTCACTGGCTTCTCTCAAACTACCACAACGCCTCAACATTGCCTCGCGAGTGCGCATTCTGGAAACTGGTGTAATCGAAGCCCTGCCCATCAATGAACGGACCATAAAGAAGAACATGATAAGAAAATGGGAGAGGACAAACAATAAAAGAATTCGTAAAAGAATTACATTTCCGAAACCCACTCCCCTTAATAAAATTCATCTTAACCCCGACTACATACAAACCTTACTAACTCCGCCACCACCTCCAAATGTCTCTTACAGTCTAATTAACCGAGCCCCATCAATGCAATCATTATGTAGCAATTCTATTGTTTCTGCACCTGTTCCGACCTATATGCCCAATCCCCAAATTTCGTTTGTTGCGGTCCCAATCTTAACTCCCTCAACTCCTCTATTGCCATTCCCATTTATTACTGTCCAACCATTTTGCGGCCCGGGAGTGTCGCGTCTCAACGCGAATTATAAATTTAATTAAAAATATAAATTTTATTGAAATTACTCATCCACAAAACAATTTCCCAGACTTTATCTAACATAATCATCTTAAAGTTTTATATGTTCGCTGGCCTTATTTAAATGACTTTCACGTTCCTACCAGCGGTTCTTTCCCTGCAATCACTTTGTTAGTGTCTTCTTTTTACAAACATTCCCCTTTTCACTTAATCAATTGTATTTTTAAATTAAAAGAAAATAAATATATTTTGTTGTGTGTGGAAATTTTAATTAATAGGTCTAATTAGCGTTATCTGAGCCTAACGCTAAAGAAAAACTTAAAAAATATTACTGCGAATAATTAATTAACAGAGTGTACTTCGATTAAATTTTATCATAATTTAGAAAACAAAAAATATACGAAAATTTTAAATGATATAAAAATATCAATACTTGAATGAATCCTGCTTTACTATATGGGGAAAAGCAACAATCCATCTACTAAGAAGACAGTCTGTTGCCACTAAGTAGCGATAAGGGTTGCGAACAGTAAAATCACCCCTAAATATTTAGTATAAAATTCATTTAGAATTGTATATTTATGCCTCTTCAACTATGTGTAAAGGCGAGACACCTTAAGCCTATCGTTGAGATGAAAAAATAAAAATGTTATAGTAAAGTATTGAACTCAAACCTTTTCGTTGTCATTTGGATTTACTGTAATATTATTTCCAAACTTAATAGTAGGCAATTTACGAAGACGAATTTGAACTTTGTTTTGATCTCCATAAGTCAATAACAATCACTCGTCTTGATCTCCACGAAGACATTAACAATCACCCGTGAAGGCGCACAAGTCGTATAAGCACTAACTCCTTTAAAAAGCTGACTGAAATCTAACCAAAATCCTTCCATCATTTTACGGTTATTTGGACGAAAAGGGTTTCTACGACGATTCATGGCAGATTGAAACATTCATCTTACAATATCCCCCAAATTTCCTTTCGCAAAGAATGCACAAGTTTTGACTAAAAATTAGAATAAGAAAACTAAAATAATTTTACCATCAGTAACAAGCGCAGGACATGGCTTAATATTATCATTAACAATTATACGCAGACCCCTTGCCACCCCATTACGTGCAACAATAGCATAATTTAAACGCTTAATCACTCTTTCTTCGAAAAGCCGACCAGTCCAACTAGTCGATGCGAACGACTATAAAATAACTCGGCTCTTGTCCAGTTCATGCGTCCCATGAAGACTTATGCGTCCCATTAGAAATTATGAGTCCCATAAAAATTTATGCATCCCAAAAATAATTTATGCGTCCCATTAAATGAATTGAAAAAATATTCAAAAATTAAAAATGCAAAGTTATTAGTTTTAAAAAATTTAAAAGAAAAAAAAAAGTTATGATGAAAAGAAAAGTGTGCAATAATATTCTGGTCATCCTGTAAATGTTGAAAAAGATGAAAATGTTGAAAAGAAAGAATTTTCTTTTTAAAACGGCTTGAAAGTTTAAAGAGTACCGTTTCTTTTTCTAGTATATGACTTATCCTCAGTTTCTAGTGAATAGATTGAATATACCAAGAAAATATAGATGATTAATCGTCTTAAAACGAGGTGCTCACGGTTACAAATATTATTATTTGTGGCCGTGTTAAAATTCGGCTGTTTCTGTACCCTAAATATCTGCGGATACATACCCGTATCCGTTATAGATTCTTTTATCTAAAGTAGGCGGAAATTTTGAAAATTTTCTAAAAGACCAGATTTCCCCTTTTCTTGTATATCAAGCAAAAAACGATTGAAATTTTAAAACGTTTGAGAAGAAGCCAGATTTCTTTGATAAATCTGGCCAAGAAGCCAGATTACTTCCCAAAAATTTTTGAAATTTTTAAAGGCAACAACAATTAAAAACGTGTCCTTCCGTATTCGCGGATATATCTGTATCCTTGAGAACCGAGTTAAAAAAATCTAAATATATTTAATACTCCGTATTTCTTCAAGGAATCTGTTCGTGATCTTCATCTTGTTGATTAACATTTTCTTCAACTTGATATCTAAAGATATGGAAAGGCCATTTCCCTAACAGAAAATCAAATCCATCTACTTCAATTGCTGTCACAAAAAGTTCCACTGCAAACATCGAAAGAGAACCTTTAATTGAATAACAATTAACTGGTCCTCCTTGTTCACAAAGACGAGATACACCATACTGAATTTCACATGCATTTTCCGTGATTTCTAAAAATGAATCATCGATTGCATCATAATCGATAACATGTTGTTTTATAACATCTAAGAATAATTATAAAAGAATCAAGTTTAAATAGAACTATTTGTTTATCTTATTCCAAATTATCGAATAAAATTATAGATAGTGTTTTTTATTCGCAGTCATATAATTATTTTATTATATAAAATGGAAACCTCGATTAAAGTCAAATTCAGTAAAGTATTTTTTATTCCTTTTCGCATTTTTATATTCTTTGAGAGATTTTACAGATTTCTCAAGCATTTCCTTTAATAATAAGTAATTAATTAAAATATTATTTAAAAAATAAGATATGTATATACCGCAATATGATCATTTAAATTTTGAAAACTTTCATTTATTCCCCAATTTTCTTCTATCACACCAGGATTTAAAATTTGGTAAATTTTATGTTTAATCCTAGTTTCATCACATTCAAATTGAAAAATGCTACGTTTATTATAATAATGATGTCGTATAAATTGATAAAATCTATGGAAATTTTTATAGTAACGTTGTTCGCCTGCCTCAAAAGAATTTCTGCACGCATTCACACGAAGTTGTAAAGTATTAATTATTTTGCAAAATTCGTTAGTCACAGGCGTATTATCATTATCATAAGGCCCATCTTTTAAATAATAGCAAGCGCTGCTAGCATTTTGAAGAATTCTTTGGTCAAACATCATTAAGAGATTGTAATCGTCCAAATCAGATCTCCCTTAAATTTAAATATACCTAACAGTAATTTAGAGGTCCTTAGTGTAATTAATAATTTCATGAATATTTTGTACACGAACTTTGAAAGTCTATATTTATCTTTTAATTTCATCATTAATAGTTTACAATTCTTTCCTAAATTGTTTATTTCTGCACGCAATCACACGAAGTCGTAAAGCATTAGAGATATTCTAATATGTGTCTAATCTCTCTATATTCCCTTTATCCGCCCATATTCGATATCACTAATCAACCCAAATCCCCGATATTTTTGTGAGATACTTATTCGAGGAATCCGCCAAATCCCACCCTTTAACGCCGTATACATTCTAGTAATTTTCTTCTGAAAATTTTTTAAAAGTCGTTACGCGATTTAGTAAAACCTTGACTTGTACACCGCGATTTGTCTGGACCGTGTTTTGAAATTACTTGAGCGACCGCCTGTATTATGGTATTCTCATTTTTAAGAGGCCCTATTCTTTATTATCTAATTTGAATCTGCCACAGGCAAATAAGTGGAATTTAGGGAGGGAGAAATGTGGACCATATTGCACATGTTAAGAAAGAAAAAAGTAATAAAAACCAAAATACATGATAATTTATAAGGCCAAAATTATCATGTATGTATAAATAATATACCTTGTATGTTCAAATTTTCAATGACATGTACCAAAAATTCATCTAAATTATACATATATACATAGTTATTTAGTTATTTATATTTATTTTTAACAAAGTATACTAAGAGTTCAAAGAAATCTATTATTAATTAACGAACTTACCTTTTAACGCATTATGTTGAACAATGAAATCTTTCTCTATAATGAATAAAAATTATTTATTAATCCTTTAGAATTTTTTACAATAACAAGCTTTTAATAACAAACCTTTTAACTTTCTGTTTTGAAATTGAGCTGGCAAGTTTTGATTTTGAATTGTTAAATCATCTTCCCATGTGTTATAATAAGGCACATCTCCAGTTTGAGAAGAAGAGGAAGGCTGATTTTCCCATTCCGTTGTACTATGGTACATATGAGAAGGATGTGTTTCCCAATCAGTTGCTCCTGCATGGTATAAGAGTTGGTAATTTATTAAATATTTAATGAAAGAATCTCGAAATCCAAGCTTTCCTTTCTATACTTTGATACAGACAAAAATTCCTATTGACACAGTAATATTATGTTTCCTTTTCTAATACAAAAATGATTTTTCGAAATTCAATTTTCCGAACATTCTATTTTTTCTATAATCTCTTATAAACTTTAAAGAATTTACCTCCTATATTCATTTGTCCAAATTGATCATGTATATCTGGGTTATAATGTCCAGACTGCAATTCTTCACACTCTCCCTCATCATTATCATATTCTCCTTCATATTCCTCTTCATCATATTCTGCTTCACATTCTTCTTCTTCTACATAATGATAGCGGCTTGTTTGTCCTTGCGATGCAGAAGGCATTTCTTCCCATTCTTCCTCTGTATTGTAATGTTGTTCCTCGCCTTCATGAACCTCGCCATCAGAACCTTCTTCATTATATTCTGTTTGATATTCCCCTCCGCCATTTGACTGATAATCATATTGATTTGCATTATGATTCCCAAAAATATTATTGCAAGTAGTACAAAAATTATGCCAGCAATTATTTATCCATTCTTGAAAATTAAAGCCCCGACAAATGTCTGGGCATAAATTTCCTGAACTATTCCAACATGACATGCAACATGAATTCCAGTTAGGATTTTGATCCATTCCATTAAATAATGGGGATAGCAGAACCATAATAATAAATAAAAATAGCATGAATTTTTAATAAAAGAATTTTAAAGATTATTTGAAAAATCTGTTTAAGATAAAACTTCTTAGAAAAACGCTATTTTCAAAGACGCTTTTAAATTAAATACCGTATTTACTCGATTAATTCCCATTCCATGGATGGGCCTACTCAAATTCTACCTACATCACTTCAAATAAATCACTTTAAGAAACTTAACAAATGCAAATTTAGATGTAAATTTCGAAAACATAGATGCCACAAAACTGCAAGCATTTAATAAGGCCTCTCAGAAGAATAAAGTCTACCCTAAAACTCCGGAATTTTACTTTAATATCCATTTAGACTTTTGCCTTTGCCTAATTTTCTATAATTTAAGCAGCAAACTTTATTATTCATTTGGTTATTTTTAGATATTACATGAATGAATTTCTAAAAATTTTAAAGGGTATTTAAATTAAGTCTGTTGTAGCGATTCATTAAATAGATTGCCAATGTGGCGAGCCAAATATCAACATATAGCATGGAGAACTATGGTCGAGAGCTATGAGGGTGATCCAGATACAAATTTATTTACTTAATAAATGCAATATTTTTTATTGCGCAATTTTTCTATATTTTAGTTGCAAATTTCACAATGCAAAAGTGCAGATCGAGAGTTCTTACGGATGCGGTGTTGAACATACATACTCTTATCACAATACTTGGATTTTGGCGGTATTTCCTAGAAAATAGCTCTTTGAACTAAACACATTTTATTTAGCCTTAATATTTAGCCTTAATAATTGTTTATATTCACAATTGCCAAATTTACCAAAAAATATTAAGGCATGAAAATTGCTCGTTATTTACTTGAACAACTATTTAATTGTTACTTTGAATTTGTTCAGTATGATAAAGCTATATTTAATCCGCAAATGATTGAATTATTATTTGATGAAAACAAGACAAATATACCTTTACAAATTCATTCACAATTTGTAAAGGTATATTCAAATTCATTCACATCTATTTATTTTTAATAGTTCTGATAATTGTTTATATTAGATTTATATTAAACATCTAATTTCTAATGAATTTACTATTGATCTTTCGAAATTCACAGGAGGCGAAATATAAATATTTTATTTAGGGTTTCTAAAAATTTTTATTTTCAATCGAATGTAATAAAATAAAAGAAACAATTCAAAACAAGATTGAAATTTATAATTTTTAAATAAACAAATACATACTTAGTAATATACATATATCTAAAAATTAGGGTTGTTCACTACCGGTTATTAAATTTACTCCCGGTTTTCGGTTAATCCAAATTTTAAAAACCCGGTTTTCGGTTTTGAGTTTTAGACAAATACCGGTTTTATAATATTTTGGGGAAATTTTTAATAAAATCACTCATTTTCACAAATTTCCGGCTTTCGGTTTTTAAAATTTTCTAAAAGCGGTTAATTTAGGCAAAAAATTTCAAAAATTCCGGTTTTAAAACCGGTCGTGAACATCCCTACTAAAAATGTTAAATTATTCATTTTTTAAATGCGAAAAATTGAAAATACATAATCTATATTCGTTAAAATATTGTTAAGGAAATCAAAAAATTAGAAATAGTGAATAGATAAACTCAATTTTTATATTATTCTGAATTATTATTTAACAATCAGACGTCTCCAGATAGTAGTCGCTCACTTATGCGATCTATATTAACAAATTACATTAAATTTTGAAGAAAATCAACACTGACTTTAGTCTTTTTATTTGATTTATTTATTCTTTGCTGTTTATTGTAACAAGCAGCACACAAACTGTGTCCAGGTATTGAATAACGGTACCAATGTGATGTATGAGTAACATCGCAAATAGAACAATTTCGATCTTGTGGTGTTATCTAAATATGTATAGGCAAATGTATGGAAACTTATAAATGTTTTCTTACATCAAAAATACATATTTATTAATTACTTTGCGAAAATATTTGTGTAAAAGGGAGTACACAAGGCATTTGATTTGCCTTCCTTAAGCACAGACCGCGTTTTCAAAACTATGTTTTATAGGAAGGAGTCGTTCAGGATATTGTTTGTGTAACTCCGCAAATAAAACATTTACGATCGTCTTTAAATTACTTAATTAGGTTATTTTAGTAAATAAATCATAGTAGGAATCTACAAATACATAAAAAACCCACTTATATCTCTATTGGCTTAACGTTTAGACAAAACAACGGTTCAGAAATTCAGTGTTGAGTAAGATTCATTTAAAGAGTTCCGATAATTAATAAAAATCGTCCCAAATATTGATAAAGATAACCTTTGTAGTCTTAAACCATAATTCTTTTGATCTAAACTTTCCATATTTGCGTTGACATGCCCCACATTTTTCGCACAAGTAATGTTCTTTTAGGTAACTATTCCATTTTTTGCTTTGATTTGATTGACAGTTGAAACACTTTCGTTTATTTACTTCTATTATTCCACCTATAATTATCAATGAAAATTTTTATTTAATGAAAAAACATAATTAAACATTTATTTACTTATTTTATTGCCAATATAAACAATTTTGCTTTTTAATTCTTTCGGATATTCAACTTTTTGTTTTTCTAACAATTCAATTTTATATCCAATTAAATTAATTTCCGTCCAATAGCTTGATAAAAATTTGTTTTTATATGATTCTAGATTTTCTTTTAATAATTTTATATTATTTGGTTTTATATTTTCTAAACTTTCGTTTAGAATAGAAGTTTCATAATAATTGGTTGTCTCAATAAAATTATTAAATCGGAGTGCCTTAAATTTATATCAAAGTTGTTTAAGGTGTAAGAGAGGTTTAAAGAGGCTTAAATGCCACAAAATAACTAAGCCCAGTAACGAATAACTTATAAGTTACTTAGCCGTTTTGGGGTGAATTCTGATAGGAACATTCAAATATTAAAAGTTAAAATACCCGTTTTTCCTTTGGCAATAAATATTGAATAAATTTATTATTGGCAAGCTCAATCACGACTTTTCTTTTTAATTGAAAAGTTAGATTATATTTTCCTTCATATAATTCTGTACTAAATAAATTGCTTTCAAGGTTTAATTCAAGCGGACGAAAAAATTCATTTATATTAAATTTAAGAGTAATATCATTTTTATTATTGGATTTTTTAATTGTTTTCAATACAAAACGATCCTTTATTTGAATATTTTTTAAATAAATAAATTCTCTTTTTTCTTCCCAATCATCTTTGATTTTCACTTCAATTTGAATGAGTTTCCCGGCGCTTAGAATTTTCAAGAATTTAATTAAATATATGAGAATGATAAAATTAAATTTAACCATCTGAAATTTAGAAAATTTATTTACAACATCCGGTAACATGAGAACTTGGTTACTTTTTTCCTAATATTATATAATAAATCGTATAAAATGACAGAGACCGAGAGCTCATAAACCCTGAGAAATTTCTCGACTCGAGAACCGAAACTGAGAGTCTCGACCATCACCACTGAATCAGGGTGTACACACTTCGAGTTGCTTTAATGCGGCCCAATTGCCGAATTTTGTTAATTAAATAGACTTGATTTTACTACTATTGTTATTTATTTTGAAATTTATCAGTCATTTAAAAATAAATATTTGCACTTTATATTTATTAGAAAATTCATATGATTAGTCCACAAGGCATCAAATATTTAGAAATTCTATTTTATTTTTATTTATTTTGTCTATCGGCAAGATAAAAAATGTTATTGCACTTTTTGTCAATTGACTCGTTTATATGATTAGGTTTAAATATTTTGAAATAGTATTTTTTAGAAATATAAAAAGTGCAAATATTTATTTTTAAATGCCGGCTATATTTCAAAATAAATAGATAAAGAGTAGCTATATCAAGTCTAGTTAAGGGAAGAAAAGTCTGATGAACCTATAACTTTTATTTTTATTATTGATATCCCGTTATTTTCAATTAAAGAATTGCCTTCCAAATTATTTTCAAATAAAATCCTTCAAGGCGTTGAAACTTTAGTAATAATTAATATCTTCTTTTCATTTAATTTAGGCCTTATATTTCTAATATTAAAATTTATATGATTAAATTTATTATGTTTTCTCACCTAGTATATATTTCTCTAGTGAATATTACAAGAATTTAATATAATTATTTTAAAAACAACTACCCCTACCTCGATCCCAAACTAATAGAAATTGAATTTTCAAACAGAAAGACCCCTTTAGATATCACTTCTTTTCTTTTTCCCTTGCCTCCAATTTTTTAAATGCTTCCTATGCTTTTTTAAAAGATTTTTAAGTAAAGTATTTAAAATTATATTAGTTTAAATGAATTTCGAGCCTTTATACTTTATACATTGTCATGTCCGATGTTCATGCTGTGGAAAAATTGTGGATGGGAGATGGAATTGAACCATCACGGAAAGGGCCCAAACCGAAGCACAACCGACTGTGCCACCATCCAACCCGATGCTGGGTTATTTATTTTCATTTATGTTCTTTCTGCATGTGCGGACACAACATACATTAAATTTGTTTCCGTTAATATTGTGTCAAAACAAAATTTAAAATTTTCAAGGTATCAAAATTTAGATGACTAAATTCTTTATTATTTCCCTTTTAAATTTAATTATTATATTGAATATACAAAGTGACGGAAAATTAATAATTGAATTGAAGATCAAGAATGATTGGGAAGGAAAAAGAGAATTTATTTATTTAAAAAATGTTGAATTAAAGGAGCGTTTTGTATTGAAAAAAATTGAAAAAAGTGATAATCAGTATGACTGTTTACAAAATAATATCGAAGGATATCTGCATCCAGTTGAAATAAACCTTGAAAGAAATATTTTTAATGTTCCAATAAGTAATCCATCTGTTCAATTAAAAAGGAAAGTTTTGATTGAAATTGCCATTAATGAAATTGTTCAGAATTTTTTGCCTGGATTAGAAAAACGGGTATTTAATATGTTAATTTTTGCCCATATTGAGTAAAGCTATAGCCGAGTAATCTATAATAGAGACCGGCGCGGGATGG